TATAAAACCAGAGAATGTTAATGAATAGAGAAGGCGCAAATGTTAAATGAAATCTTTTTGAGTACTAATTTGTAGTTTCACATGAGGGAACATCGAAAAATATAACTTCGAAAAAGAAAAATACACCACACAATGTGCGAAATGCTATAAATAGACACAACGAATATTCCTAAATGAAAAATCGTTGCGCATACTTATTTAGATTTATGTTTTCAATTTCTATGATATGACAAAATTTATAATTATGAAAACCTTCTGAATTAAAAAGCTGTATTACCGGTAAAAACCCCTGAGTTTATAATAAAATAAACATTTAATAGGCTATTTTTACAACTTATGTGCTTATGTGCGTTGCGTGAGCAATACCTATTGAGCAAAGAATAATAATAAAACAGTGGCTCAGTGGCCGCGTTTTCACTTTTGAGCTGGCTGAGGTCGTAAGCGTGAAGGAGTTAAGCTCAATTGGAATACGAGTCTATACGTTCAAATCCTAAAACTCATGAAACTTAAATGTTATTTAATTTTTTTATTTATTAATTGGAGTCTAAGCATATCATAATTCAATTACATTAATAGCACTACTTCCTAAGATAATTAAAATATTTCACGAAAATATGTTCATATTGTGACGAACACGGATGATAGAACAAAATCGAATCGACGATAAATTGCCAGAAGCAACTAGACAGCGAATTCGTAGTTGCCAGAATGTTCTAGTAGTAAAGTAGTTAGCGAATTCGTAGTGGCCAGAATGTTCTAGAAGCAATGTTTTGTTACAGATTTACTATATAAGGGCTGCCGGATTGCGCAGCAAACACAGTTCTAGTTAGAGTGTTGTCGTGATAAGAGCTATCAAGCTATAAGCAAGAAGTTTTAAGTTCGAATAACGAGCAATAAGTGTTAAGTTGTTTTAATTAGAAATAAAGATAAGTGTGTAGCCATAAAATTGGGACTTTTATTTAACAATCCAGTGATCGAACTCAAGAGTGAGTTATAGCAGAGAACGTAAATGAATAGAGAAGGAGCAAATGTTAGCTGTTCTAATATGTTAATTACGATGATGACAAAACGCGCAAGTTCGAAAATAAAATGTCACCATACCTATCAGGGTACGTAACGAACTACACCACTCTATAAGCAAAATGTATATACATACATGTTCATTGGTATGCGCATAAACAAAAATTAAAATAATAAAAACGAAAGTAATTGACCTCCGACAAGAAAATATAAATAATGAGGGAAATAATACTAAAATAGAATTCAAATATCATTTAATAAAAAAGAGTTATAAAATAAAAAATAGTATAATATATAAAAATATGATAGGATTTGAACTTAGGCAAAACATTTCATTGCAATAAGGAAGTGTGCTATACAAGCAGCACAACAGATGATATTAGAACATATTTGTCTAATCTGTGAACTCAAACAGCTATTGTTGTTTACTTGCTTCAATGTTCATATGTCTATATGTGAATATTCTTGAAATTGCCTTCCTTCATTCGCATGTCCAAATATATTTGCATATATGTACACATATGTACATATGTATGTCCATCAATATGCCTTTCGCAAAAAATCAAACACTCGCGCAAGTGACAAAAAAAACGTAGACGCACCATCATCGGCCAATAATATTCAAGCGAACTCGCGGCATATTTTCTAAGTATTTTATATTACAACGACAACAAATTCATTCATAAGGAACGTGCGCTGCTTCAAAGCAAAGTGCGTTCGTTCATAACTCTGCGCCGCGCTATTTTTTCTGGGCGCCTGGTAAACCATATTTGGTTTTCATATAGAATTCTTACCGCAAATGCGCGAAAATAAAAATGAATGAAATTGAATTTGAATGTCTTCAGTAAAATTGAAGAATCACCAAAATTTCAATTTTACAATTTGTATCACTGAAAATCCTACCATCCCCCTCGCGTTTGTATGTTGCCCACAAGCTGCTTCCTCACAACATTTGCTAAAAATCAGAAATTGAAGAATTTGTCTGATGTTCACTTCAAAAAGGAGAATTGGTAACATGACCTATAAGCGAGTTAAAATAATCTTTGAATTTTTTTCATATTATGCACTATTTATGGCTTAAATTATAAAATTTATATAAATATGCCATTCATAAGAAATCTTTAACTACTTCTACATTTTCTAAGCACACTGCATATAGTACTTTTATATGTTTACTTATTATCATTGTTTCATAGTTTTTCGATTTAGTCCATTTTATCTAAATACGACGCTATGAAAATGCAGTCCAATTGGTAATCGCAATATTTCAAAAGAGCATAAGTCAACTTTCAATAGCAAACCTCTGCAAAAAAGACAAACGAGACAACATAGCCAACCGACATTGTCCTAAAATTGTCAATTCAAACAAATTTTGTCAACTCCGCGACGATGCGCAAAATTCGGCGTCAATATGAGCTCATACGTATGTATGTTTGTGGACAAAGTCGTCATTTGGTTTTTTTCAACAACACAATGTCCGCGCGAACTCGCCGTTATTTCGTTGGCTTGCCACCATGCACAGAGGCGTGTCAAGTGAGGACTCTTAATATATTATATTAATTTGTTGCTTAATTGTATTGAAAAATACTAATGCATTAATGATTTATTTTCGTAATATAATAATAACAATCGTAAAAATATAAATACAAATAAATTCATACCTATAATCGTTTTTAAAATAAATTCGATAAATAAAATATATATCTGATACAATTATGTGGCAGTGTGCCCCTGACCCCTTCTTGCTTGCGATCATTCAACTTGCTTCTCGCAAAAAGCAAAAAGTGTTGACAAAAGTCATTGTTTGTGCGGGACAAGAAGAAGCAAGCATCAGCGTACGTGTACTTATGAATGTATGTGTGATTATCACATTTCTGTAAATACGCATAAATAAGGGAACATACAATAAACCCAAACATATGAACATATAATATTTTCGTGAAATATTTTAATTATCTTAGGAAGTAAAATATGCTATTAATGTAATTGAATTATGATATGATTAGACTCCAATTAATAAATAAAAAAATCAAATAACATTTAAGTTTCATGAGTTTTAGGATTTGAACGTATAGGCTCGTATTCCAATTGAGCTTAACTCCTTCACGCTTAAGACCTCAGCCAGCTCAAAAGTGAAAACGCGGCCGCTTAGCCACTGTTTTATTATTATTCTTTGTTCAATAGGTATTGCTCACGCAACGCACATAAGCACATAAGTTGTAAAAATAGCCTATTAAATGTTTATTTTATTATAAACTCTGGGGTTTTTACCGGCAATACAGCTTTTTAATTCAGAAGGTTTTCATAATTAAAAATTTTGTCATATCATAGAAATTGAAAACATAAATCTAAATAAGTATGCGCAACGATTTTTCATTTAGGAATATTCGTTGTGCCTATTTATAGCATTTCGCACATTGTGTGGTGTATTTTTCTTTTTCGAAGTTATATTTTTCGATGTTCCCTCATGTGGAATTACAAATTAGTACTCAAAAAGATTTCCTTTAACATTTGCGCCTTCTCTATTCATTAACATTCTCTGGTTATAGGTAGACGATTTATCGAGAAATCCGTTACAATATGTTTGGGTTTATTGCATGTTCCCTTATTTATGCGTATTTACAGAAATGTGATAATCACACATACATTCATAAGTACACGTACGCTGATGCTTGCTTCTTCTTGTCCCGCACAAACAATGACTTTTGTCAACACTTTTTGCTTTTTGCGAGAAGCAAGTTGAATGATCGCAAGCAAGAAGGGGTCAGGGGCGCACTGCCACATAATTATATCAGATATATATTTTATTTATCGAATTTATTTTAAAAACGATTATAGGTACGAATTTATTTGTATTTATATTTTTACGATTGTTATTATTATATTACGAAAATAAATCATTAATGCATTAGTATTTTTCAATACAATTAAGCAACAAATTAATATAATATATTAAGAGTCCTCACTTGACACGCCTCTGTGCATGGTGGCAAGCCAACGAAATATCGGCGAGTTCGCGCGGACATTGTGTTGTTGAAAAAAACCAAATGACGACTTTGTCCACAAACATACATACGTATAAGCTCATATTGACGCCGAATTTTGCGCATCGTCGCGGAGTTGACAAAATTTGTTTGAATTGACAATTTTAGGACAATGTCGGTTGGCTATGTTGTCTCGTTTGTCTTTTTTGCAGAGGTTTGCTATTGAAAGTTGACTTATGCTCTTTTGAAATATTGCGATTACCAATTGGGCTGCATTTTCATAGCGTCGTATTTAGATAAAATGGGCTAAATCGACAAACTATGAAATAATGATAATAAGTAAACATATAAAAGTACTATATGCAGTGTGCTTAGAAAATATAGAAGTAGTTAAAGATTTCTTATGAATGGCATATTTATATAAATTTTATAATTTAAGCCATAAATAGTGCATAATATGAAAAAAATTAAAATATTATTTTAACTCGCTAATAGGTCATGTTGCCAATTCTCCTTTCTGAAGGGAACATCAGAAAAATTCTTCAATTTCTGATTTTTTGCAAATGTTGTGAGGAAGCAGCTTGTGGGCAACAGACAAATGCGAGGGGGATGGTAGGATTTCCAGTGGTGGCTGTCAAATTGTAAAATTGAATTTTTCTCGTTTTACTGAAATATTCAAATTCAATTTCATTTATTTTTATTTTCGCGCATCTGCGGTAGGAATTGTATTTTATTTTTATAACTCTTTTTTATTAAATGATATTTTAATTTTATTTTTATATTATTTCCCTCATAATTTTTATTTTCTTGCCAGACGTCAATTTCTTTCGTTTTTATTATTTAAATTTTTGTTTATGCGCATACCAAAGAACATCTGTGCATATGTATGTATGTATATACATTTTGCTTATAGAGTGGTGTAGTTCGTTGCGTAAATTGATAGGATGGTGAAATTTTATTTTCGAACTTGCGCGTTTTCGATGTTCCCTCATCGTATTTAACATTTTAGTACAGCTAACATTTGCTCCTTCTCTATTCATTTACGTTCTCTGATTTAACTATTTAGTACAGCTAACATTTGCCTTCTCTATTCATTAACATTCTCTGGCACGAGTTTGATTTTTTTACAAAAGGCATATTGAGGGACATACATTTGCGCCTTCTCTATTTATTAACATTCTCTGGTGCTACCATGTTATCCAAAATTAAACTTCACTTGTGGTATTACCAGACAATATATTATTATGTAGCTATCTTAAGTGAAATTTTGCAATATTATGAAAACTGTTGGTAAGTCTAGTTAAGGCATAAGCTATCGATAGTCAAAAGAAACTACCGATAGTGAGATGAAAATAAAACTATCGATAGTCCCATCGACTGTTCTGCACTTCTACTAGTAATAGATGTCAAAGTGAGCATTGTGGTTGCTTCGTCAATAGTTTAATTTAATTTTTGTGTGTTTTATTAGTTGACAAAATGGATGATGAAGCGGAGACTTACAAGCTTTGGCGCATTCGTAAAACTATAATGCAACTTAGCCACGACCGTGGTTATCTGGTAACGCAAGATGAATTAGATCAAACATTGGAGCAGTTTAAAGAAATGTTTGGCGATAAACCCAGCGAAAAGCGGCCAGCACGTTCCGACCTTATAGTTTTAGTGGCGCATAATGATGATCCAACTGACCAGATGTTTGTTTTCTTCCCGGATGAACCGAAAATTGGCATAAAAACTATCAAAACATATTGTACAAGAATGCAAGAAGAGAATATACATCGTGCGATCGTAGTAGTGCAAGCAGGCATGACACCATCGGCCAAACAATCTTTGGTTGATATGGCGCCAAAGTATATTCTAGAACAATTCCTTGAATCGGAACTTCTAATCAATATTACAGAACATGAACTGGTTCCCGAACACGTTGTAATGACACCAGAAGAAAAGCAAGAGTTACTGGCACGTTATAAACTGAAAGAGAACATGTTAATGCGAATTCAAGCGGGAGATCCTGTTGCGCGTTACTTTGGTCTCAAACGTGGACAAGTAGTTAAAATTATACGTTCATCGGAAACAGCTGGTCGTTATATATCTTACCGACTTGTTTGTTAAAATATAGTTTTGTATTAAGATGTAGATTTAAAAATAAATTTGTTTATCACTTACTTTTATTAAAATATGTACCAATTTCATAGGTCCGTTGTTTCAGATTTTCAAGTTCTGATTTTAATATATATCCACTAAAGTAACACAATTTCCGATATCTAAGTATATGTCTACAATAAAAATTATGAAAAAAAAATTTTCATATGAGCGGTAAGACAATGCGAATAACTGTTAGTAATACATAATATGTTTATTTAGAAAATTGAGTTTTATTTGTGAGACTTTTTATTGTAAATTTTAAATATATTTCTTTTAACTTAATTTGCAAAAGCTGTAAATATGCAATGAAAATTTAATAATTTAATTGATGTTTCAAGGAATAACTCCTTTCTAACTATTATCAACTATTTATGGGCTTGTAAATCAACGACTTGTTTACGTTAGCTAATGATGTTCCGTGTGATTTCATATGTCCGCTAAGACCTGCATGTTGGGCAAAACGTTTTGTACAAATCTTGCAAACAAATTTCTTTTCTTTATCATGAATATATTTGTGCTGACGTAATTGTTTAGCACTTGTAAATCCTTTGTTGCACACATTACAAATTTTATCTTTAACTTTCATATGTACATTCATATGTTCTTTTAATAAACCCTTTTTGAAGAAAGGTTTATCACAAAGCTCGCAATTGTAACAAGGTCGGTTTTGATGACGTCGCATGTGCGTACTAAATACAGATGCTGTTCGCAGTCTCTTGCCACATATATCACAAAAGTAGGGGTTCTCACCTGTGTGCGAGCGAATATGTATTTTTAAATCTGTTGATGTTGCACAGGATTTATTACATATTTCACAATTATATGTGAAGTCATGCACGTGCCTACGTAAGTGTACTGTTAAGTTAGCGGCAATCTTAAATTCATGATCACATATGTGACATTTGTATGGTAAGGACCCATTGTGTGTTGATAGATGTATCTTATATTGTCCTAAACTAGAAAGTATTTCTCCACATATTGAGCATTCATATGGCGCCACATTTACTTCAATAAAAGCAATGTGATCGTAGTAAGAGTATGGTGACTTATAAGCAATTTTGTTTCGTTTACAACGTAATTTTTGTTTCTTTTCGTCGGAACATATTTTTCGCAATTTCGCTATTTCACTTTCTAAATCCTTTTGTGTCATACATAAACCAGTTTCCAAATTAAAATCATTATGTATGCATTCTAAAGCATCACGGCGTCGATTGCTAAATCTATATGTAATGTCATTTTCATCCCAAAGACATGGATACTTTTTATAAAGTTCTGCTAAAGCGATATACTGATCGTCAGTTAATAACGGCGGAGTTAAAATAGTTTTTTTAATTTCTACAGATTTCGTCTAGAAATAAACAATTTTAATAAATTTATGTAAAAATCGAATCCCTTTCCGTGGGACTTGTCATACCTTTTGGGTTTGCTTCTGCACACGCGGTTTTTGTTTTATAAATGATTTCAGGTCTGTGAGCCAAGCGGGGGTGTATTCCCGACCTTTGGCTTCATAAATTTGCATTCGAATTATCTCAGTACGAAGTTTAAATCGGAATTTTGCTACTAACTTCTGAATGTTTTTCCATTCTTCTGGCATGCCCACGCTTGAGGCTATATTTTTTAATAAATTCTCTTTCTCTTTTTTTGTTGGTTGCCTAATTCTTTTATCCCATAATGCTGGGTGTTTTGCATAACTCGAAAATATATCTGTCATCTTGGTAGTTTGGAATAAATTTTTAAGATCATCCACCTGAAAATGAATTTTTATTATTTATTTTCCTTTATGCACTAATACACACCTGCTCATTGATATAAATTCCTGCGTTGCCAATTTTATCAGGAGCATTATCAAAATAATCGATATCTACGGATTCCTCAAAACTATTGTTATCCTAGAAAGTTAAAATATAGGCTTCTTATTAAAATTTGAAGATTTAAGATTTTTATGTGCTATCAATTATTTTACTTCACTGAATCCGTCCCCACATTCTTCTGGAATAGCCGCATCTTTATCTATTTCATTGCTAATATTTTCAGAATCTAATTCTATTTCAACTCTTTCGAAGCCATTTAAATAACAACCATTTTCATCGTCATCCTATAAAAATATAAGACCTATACCAAAATTTTGTAAACATACTTAAGGTTACCTCCAAGTCCATTTTATCAGCCGACATATCAATTTTCTCTGTTTTTGTAAACGAATGTTTGTCGATATCTTTGAAATTTTGATTATTCATTTTAGGAAAATGGTCTTCGCACATATGATGAATAAATTTTTCCAACTGAAGGAATGTATATTCACAAAATACGCAATTCAGAAAAAATTGTTGATTTCCGGCAGATAATAGAGCAGATATTTCTCCACATTTTATTTCTTCTTTTTTATAATCCATAGTCATTAAAGCAGCACTAAGTAACACAGCCCGATGTTTATATACAAAAGTTATACAAATAAGGAATATTGAAATTTTATGGAATATTTTTGATATTATTTGTATAGTATCCTATAAGAAATGCATTCACAAAATTTGTAAACAAACAGCTTAAGTTTGATGTGCGATGTTGCCGTATGAATTAAAAGTAACTTTTTCTAAAATAATGGGTGGAATATACCAAAAAGTTTGATACAAAAAGATACCGACAAGTTCACTATCATTTAAATCATGCGTTAATTACTAATTACGCTACTAGAGATTTTCCTTAAAGTATTCGTTTGTTTCTGTTTTTGAGCAATTATAGGGCAGTACATATTTTTGGTAGCAGTTTTTTGGAAATTGAATATTATTCACTAAATTATTAAATATATTCTTTATACATTTTTATATATTATAGGTTATACGGTTGTTTTTTGCAGGGGGTGAAAACATTCCTTAACTAATTGTCTGGAGTGCTGCCGATATAAACGTCTTAGTCCGGATAAAAATCAGTGTCGGTTTCGGTCACATACAATAGATAAATAACTATATAAAGAATGAGGTTTGCACCGCGACCTAAGGTCTATTGTGCCCTCCCCTCTATCACAGCGACCCACATAGCTCCAGCACATTGATGAATTCCAATATACTGCTGGGTGCCAGCGAGGCGATGTGATCCCTATTCGGAAACATGGATCAAAGGATCTTGATCTTGCATCTGCAGACGGCAGTGCTGTCTATTAGCAGGTGTTCTGGAGTTTCCGGCTCTATATCGCAGAACTGACAGTTTGCACAAGAGGCTAGGCTCATGTTAAATAAGTGCTTCTTGAGCTTGCAATGGCCAGTGTTGAATGCAACAAGTAGCCGAAATTTGTTCCTCAGGAGATTGATTACATTGTTAAACCTGCTGAGGTTGTAGTTGTCGCCAATGCCTCTCCTCTTTACGGAGCAGCTCCTTTATGGTATGAGAGAGCAGAGCGGGCAAACTCATCAGCTTGTTCATTCCCGGCACCCAGAAGAGGTGCACTCGGTTGAGACCTAATAAGCTTTTAAGCGTTCTATTCACTCCTGCACCAGTAGCGATTTAATCTCATAAAAAGAGATGGCTTTGAGTGCCGCTTAGCTAATGCTGAGTATGGCGATACTTTCGTTGCGTTGGATTTTTATCTCTAATCACCGACTTATTGCTTAAAATATGCTTGGAAAACTACCCATAGGTATAGAGAATTCCTTCGTGGGAAAACAGCCATTGGTGTTTTATCACTTAGAGCCTTCATTTGTTGGAGGAATCCAGGGTTAGCCCTAATTGTTTGACCACATTATTCATATTTAACTCTCTGCCGTCAAGGATAAATTCCTAAGGCCGGGCAGGAACCTTCGTCTAGTGAACGAGACGATGGTAGTTTTCGGGGAGTTGATGTTAAAACCAACCAGATAAGATACTGGCTGAGTTTTTTTTTTTTTAATATTATATAAATGGTTTAATGTACATATCTTCCAAACCGCTGAAGCTAACTTAACCAAATTTGCTGGGATGAATCTTTTTAGTACTTTTTTATACGCTGTGAAAATAGGTAAAATCAGATAAAACTCATTAAATAAATGCGCCATAAGCATTAAATTTCACAAACACGATGGTAGGGAAGAACTTTATGGGAGTAGGAGGTGTAAAAATTAGAAAATAGGCGTGGCTCAACCAAATTTGGTATGTGAGATTACCCAGCCATTCCTATGACAAACTGTGAAAATGTGCGAAATCGTACAACGGCTATTAAACTATGCAACCAAACGCATGAACTATCCATCCTGCAAAAAATGCCCCTAACACTATGCAGCTAAAAGCATCAACTATCCATGCTGTCATTTGAATAATAAATGAAAAGTCAGTTTTCGGTCAATATTTCTTTCAGCTTATATAAGAAATTATTATTTTTGACTTTTAATTTGAAGTGGTTAAAAGGGTTTTTTTTTTTTATTTAAACTATATTTATTATGAATACAAGCAAGTTTACTAGTCACAGCAATTGTCAATAGCACAAATTTGGGGGGATTTCCTTTTGTATACACAAAAAGGTTATAAGTATTGCGAGTAGGTGATGATGATAGTAATAAAATTTATGTTCCAGTTTTTATGATAATCATTTATTTTTTTTTTTAAGTTTTTCTTACTTTAAAAATTGATTAACCTTATTACTTTTGTTAACATCATAGCTTTAAAGATAAGGAACGTATCATTAATTTTTGCATACAATCAACGTCTCTTTTTCCGCGGTTTTTCTTTTACATGGTTTTTTCTGGAACCAATTTACTATGTAAAAACAGAATTAGGTATGTAGAACTTGAAACTAGTCATATAACCGGAAAATCGAGCACCACGCATCGATTCTTGATAGATTTCGGAAAGTAAAGGTCGGCTCCAATAAATCGATTATTTTATGAGAAAATTCGATTATTGAATTGAATCGGAATCGAGTTTTCCATCTCTAATTTGTTTACAATTTGGTCGGAGTTGAATAATTTTTGTATAAAGAGCGGAAAGTTTTTATATTTGCCCACGTGAAATAAATATTTCAAACAAGAAAACATGGAGATACAGAGAAACAATGCTAAAATTCAATGCAGTGATTTCAAAAAATGTGGAGAAATAGCCACATTGCTATCGATTGGAAAGCCAGAATTTTTTCTAAATTGTGGTTTTTGTGAATATACTTTCCTTCAATTAGATAATTTTATCCACCATATGTATGAAGACCATCACAACGAATTTCCTGGTTACGAATTAAAACAAGAACCCAATGAAATAGAAGAAATAATGATCGAGGAAAAATATAACACAGAACCCGAAGAAATTGACGATGTAAGCTGAATAATGTGAAATCGAAAATGCACATCAATTAATAAAGGTTACTTTCAGTATAATGATGCTAATGATTTTATACTAAAAGGATTTGAAAAAGTAGAAATTGAAATGGATCTGTCTGAAGAGCACATTCCACTCGATATTGGAGATAATTTTACCAAAGAATATTGGGATGAAGAGAACCTGGTAAATTTGGATACTTTTTTTGTTACGAAATATTAAATTAGGTACTTATAACACCAATAGAAATTTTTGCTTTTTCAGTTGTCGTTCCCGAAACGTCTTTTGTTAAATATATTGTTTTGTTTTCGGAATGACAAGTTTTTATTTGTAATATTCCCATAAACTCCTATTTTAGCTTAGTTATTCTCCATGCTTACAATCATCTGAATCGGTTCATTAAAGATCTAATATTTTGTATTCACCTGTTCACAGCTTGAAAATAATTTACAAGGAGAATTCCAAAAAGGATATAACGTGAAATTGCCCACAGAAAAGGAAAACACCCGTAACCGACAGCACTCAAAAAAACATAAAAACAAATTATCAGAATATGAGTACGATAGTGAAGAAACTACTGGTGACTTTACGATCTCTGAGAAAATTAGAGTAGAAAGAATATGTAAAGTCAATAGTAGGCAAAAATATAAAAAAAAGGAAAATATATTAAAAGATGACAAAATTATAAGCGCCGAAAGTGGTAATGACTCCGAGATTCCACAGGAAAACCTAAATTTCTCTTACTTTGAAGAAAATAGTCATGTCGTGCCCAAAAAGAGATTAGATGGCTACCAGGTAAGATTACAAGACAATTCTAATAATATTTTCAGTGTAAATGATATATTTTATTCTATGTTGCCTTTCGAATTCATATTCCACTTTAATACCATAGTTGGTAAATAAAAATTTAATATGGTTGTCGGGTCTTGGAAATAATGTGTAAATAAATAGTTTAATTTTTATATAAATATATAATGTCTGTCTTTGTTGTTGTAGCAAGTATTTAAGCCCTGTTTGGGAAAATATAAATGTCAAGTGTTGTCTAAATCTCTTAGGGATAGGTCTAGGAAACAATCTGTTCCGACGGGGTTCGACGAAATGAAGAGAGGTGTTCAGTGAGTGGGTTTAGCAGAGCATGCAAAGAGGTGATTATTGTTAAGCGGAGATTCTTTACACGCAGGACATATGTTACGTATGTATGTAAGAAAAAAGTTTCGGTAGCGTCACTCGGATTTCATGCGACAATCGAGCTCACGAAGGAACCTGATGAAAGTATTAATAGCTCCACGTCTGAAGTTGGTAGCTCCGAAATCGCTTCGGTATATTTTTGAATCGATTCCAGTGATCGATGTGCAATCATCAGCGTACGAGGCAATAAAAAATTACCTCTGGTGGAGGATGGAGTTTGAAGATGTAGAAGTCAAAGAGTATCGGGAAGAGGACACCACCCTGCGAAACAAACTGTTTGTGGTCTTCGATTTGGTCTTAGTGATGACAGCTTTAACCTCTTCGTCGGTGAAGGCAAGTGGTGCGCAGTTGTTTGGCGTTTTGCGCAACCGTCGGATGGCGATGGGTGCAATATAAATTGTCGGCTAAAGTAGCTCAGGCACCACTTCGAATAGAAGGAGGCATGATCATAAAAATGGATTACAACCGGTCGTCGTGTTTCGTCGGATTTTATTAGTTCATAATTTGCTTGCACAGCAGAGAGATTGCAAGACTCCGGTCGATTATATTAGTTTATCAGTTGAAGTCCTTTAAATAACAGCCCTTGACCAAATAAAATTCACAATTAATAATAATATGCCTCGGAAAGATCGCTTCGTTGCGACAACTGAAGTTACATATATTATTTAAAAACTTTTAGTAATTTGCACTGGAAATACCGAATTATTTAACTAAAACTTACTAAATAAGTACACAAATATATCACATTAGTAATTAACATAAACTCATTGGTTTCTCATTGTGTTCTTTATTCGCAGCTGACTAGTAGTTCTTATAAATCAGATGACTCTGATGTCGGTGAAGAGTTAGAAGAAACTCAAGTTTCAGACTCTGGGCAAAGTGAAGATAAAAGAAACGAGAGTTTATATGAAGCACAAGTAAGTTTACTTCGTTTATTAGTATTAATATTATCCTTTATAATTTTACTAATAGTGATGAAATTTCGAAATTTACACATTATCCTATTTATTATCTATTTTAGAAAGAAATTTTATTAAGAAATATGTGCCTAAGTTTTGTGATGTATGTGTTATAATATTTGTATAACAAAATAGTATGAACATATATAACTTTTATTAATGTCAGGTTAAATATATTTTTGGCTGAAAATTCGAAATAGTTCAATAACATATGAGGGCCCAATTTTAATGCATTGCATTTCAAATTATTTTTATACTCTCACAACATGTTTTTGAACAGTTAACGGTTGTTTGAATCACCTAAAACTAATCGAGATAGTTAAAGGATTGTATTTGTATAAATGATCAGGATGACGAGGCAAGTTGAAATTCAGCTGACTGTCTGTCCGTCCGTGTCCGTGCAAATAATATCTTGAGAAAAAATTTCGATATCTTGATGAATAATAATAAATTCATGTTTCTTAACATCAGGAGAAGGTTGGTATTGCAGATAAGTGGAATCGAACCATTGACACGCCCCCAAAGCGGTATTAATTGAAAACGTATAAAGTTAAATAACTAAGCTCCACTTTTGTCAATCTTTTCTAAATTAAAGAAATGCGTGTGACCATAAAAAGTATATAGTATATGATATATACATACATGTATGTGTGTATGTAATACGTTTATATATTAAGGATTATGATTCGTAATATTTCAAAAATTATATTGGGCGGTATATATATCTGGTAACTGTTACAAATGGTTTTTTTTCAGACGAAAACAATATTGAAGCCCACGAAAGTAACAATACCAAATATGATTTTAAATGATACACAATGCCAAGCATTAGCGGATATTTACAAGACACACACTTGCCTTTGGGATGAAAATGATATCGCATATCGGTTTGGCAATAGGCATAAAGAAGCATTAAACTCCATACTTGAAAAATGCAATGAAATGTGTGGCTTAAGCTTGACTAATAATGAATTGCAAAGCGAAATTGTAAGACTGCGAAAAATAACTTCAATAGAAAAGAGACAAAAAATTCTTTGTAAAAGAAAGAACACTAAATTCAAACCTCACTGTCCATATTATCAGCACATAGAATATCTCGAAGTGGATGTGTCACCCTTCGAATGCACAATATGTGAAACACTGTTTCCTGTTTTGGGTAAGCTTAAAGTGCATGTAGCATCTCATGATGGTTCGCTGCCATTTATATGCTCGCTATGTGGACATGGCTTTCAGTTGGCAAGTAATCTAACCATACATCTACGAAGGCACGTACAAGACTACACGTATACTTGTGATATATGCAGTAAATCTTTCGCTACATCCACAGATTTAAAAATACATGTACGGTTTCATACAGGGGAAAAGCCCTACGTCTGCTCTATCTGTGGCCAAAGGCGTTCAACTGCATCCCACCTATTTATACACACTTTGCGCCACCAGAATCGACGACGCCATGAATGTAAGATCTGTTCAAAGACTTTTATCGAAAAGGGAACTTTAAAAGATCACATGCTTTCGCACTCACAAGTCCGTGATAATATATGCGATGTATGCCAAAAAGGATTTAAAACTAAAAAGCATCTTTATCAACATAAATTAATTCATGCTGCAGAAAAGAAATATGCTTGTATATTTTGTGAAAAACGCTTTTCCCAGTCGGCTGGTCTAAAAGGGCATATGAAAACACATGGTACTAAGCTTTCAGCAACTTAAACTGGAAATTATCACATTATTTGCAATAGCAATATATTTATTAACTTAATAAGTGCAAAAAATATTATTTTTTATTAACTGTAATAGTAACTGTAATGGGAAACGCATTTAAGACATGTAAACTTATGTGTTCGATTTATTTAAATATTTTCTGACAATATGGTTCCGTTATTTTATATAAAGTTACTCTCATATAATAATATTAATATTAACTTTAGTCATTAAATTTTATTTAATTTAAACTTAAGTTTTGTGAACTCTATATTATTATATAAAAATATGTTGATATTATATAACATAATAAAATATCACCTGAAAATTAATTAAAAAGCAATCATATACAGGTTAAATATTATATTAGTTGATATATAGCAGCGAAGCGTGATTGTTATTGTTGTTATAGCGGCAGAATTATGTCGAGTTGACAGTCGTTGTCCGGAAAAATATCCAGGTTCCTTCCGGTTACGTAGACACGACTGTCGTAGGAACGGGGCGATGCGTGGTCATGTCCACTGTTTAATAGTAATTATATTCATTCGAACTTAAGAGCTTCCATGGGTTTCACGCCTTCAAAAAAAAAAAAATTTTTTTTTTATTGTCTTGTTTAACTTTATAACATCTCTAGAATATTATCCTAAATTCTCAAGTTGATCCGAGTAATAGTTTTGAAGTTACAGCCTTAAAAATTTGTGCGATCGAGATCAGTTTATAGTCACTTAAAACTTTTAACGCGTTTTTCTCGAAATTTTATTTTCAAAGACGGTTGTCAAGATTTCTCGCAACTACTCAACCGATCTCAATGAAATTTTGTACAGGTCTTCGAGATATAACTTACAAGGTCTTGAACGAAGGGTTTTTGTTTTGTTCAATTACAACTAATAAAAGAAAATTGAGAAATATTCACCAAAAATTTGCATATTTTTGCCAAAAATAAATTTTTTTTTTCGTCCAATACCTAGTTTATGGTCTTAGATAAAATACATGTTATTTGCTTTTTACTTTTGGTGATCTAGTAAGAATCATCTATCTACGCGAAGGCATCTTTTTGCCGAGGAACTGCCGGAAATGACGTCGCAATGGCCGAATTTTGAATATTTCATATATTATGTGAAAAAACAAAAATTATTGAAAATAGGCCAGGGTTTTCTTCGCTTGCATGACGTTAGTTGGCAGTTTATTTAATATCATACAGCGAATTTCAGAAATGCTCAGGAAAACGTGTCAGTAATACTTCTTGGCAATTGAAAGTGTTAAAAGCGTATTGAGACGATAACTTCATTATTAATAGTTGCTAAAAATTTTTCGTGGTAAATAACTTAGTTATTTCTCAAGTATAGTTTTTAAGAAAAAACGTTAATAAAAAAATAAAGCTAAGGAATATTGGTCTCAAAACTTTGTTTTATTTATGGTTTCTTGAGTCGTGGATATTAGAATTTAGGACTTGTTTTTAGCATTAGCTGGAAAGCTCAAATCTTTTATTTTGTTTTTGAAGTGAGTAGCATCTAACTGCAACAACTGTTCGAAGGTGGCTTAAAATTTGTAGGCCTCTCTATTTGTATATAATTTTGTATATAAAGGAACATTTAAATTACAATGCAGACAAATAAATTAGAGAAGAGAGAAAGAGCTAATTGTGTATCTGATTAATCTAATTTGAAATGTTTGTAGACTTTGAAAAAGCTGACGTCCTATTTTATTTGCGTTTTCAATATGTGTTGTTTGATCATAACAAGACTTCACCGATTTTAACGCATATTGTACATATTTTGAAATATAACATAAATATTTCTCTATTTCAGGCTAAATCAAAGCCATCGATTATGAAAATGACGATAACTGCGAACATTACACTAGAAGATGAGCACTACCAACTTTTGGCTGAAATATATGAGACGAATACATGTCTTTGGAATGAAGAGGACATCGCATATCGGTTTAAAAATAGGCGCGAGGAAGCATTAAAATCTGTACACGAGGAATTCACAGACAAATCTGGCCTAAACTTGACCTTAGAGGATTTGGAAAGTCAAATTGCGCGGCTGCGTAAATCTTGTTCGATAGAAAAGAAACAAAAAATTTTTTGCAAAAGAAGCAAGTTAAAATTCATACCCAAATGTTCATATTACCAGCACATAGCCTTTCTCGAGGTTGATGTGCCACCTTACGAATGCACAATATGTGATAAGTTATTATCGGGTTTGGGTCAATACAAAGTGCATGTCGCATCTCATGACGGTTCGCTGCCATTCAAGTGCCATCTCTGTGGACATGGCTTCCAGTTGGCATCTAATTTAACCGTGCACTTACGGAGGCACGTGCATGATTACACGTATAATTGTGAGGTGTGCAATAAACCTTGCGCCACAACCACAGAATTAAAAATCCATATGCGTTCACACACCGGCGAGAAGCCATTCGTTTGTTATATTTGTGGCCAAAAGGCTCGAACTTCTTCACAACTTTTAGTGCATACACTGCGTCACCAGAATCGACCTCGCCACAAATGTAAACTGTGCCCTAAAACATTTTATGAAACAGGAACATTAAACGAACACATGAGTATTCACCGGAATATCAGAGACAAAATTTGCGAGATATGCGATAAAGGTTTCACTAGCAATAAGCAATTACGACAGCATCAGCTTATCCATAACGTCGAGAAAAAGTATGCCTGTAAATTTTGTGAAAAGCGCTTTGCTCAATATGCCGGCCTCAGTGGGCATATGAAAACGCATGGCACCAAATTGTCTGCGAGCGTTCCTGACAATCTTGTGGATTAAACTTTTCTGTGCTTCAAAATTCTGTTAAATATGTATAAGTATCATTAAGTATTAGTTTTCAAAAACAAACTAAAAATTTAAATTGAAAATTTATTAAAATTCTCCCTTCTTTAATCCGGTAAGTGTTGTATACTCGATAGTATACTCAAAAATTAATTTTTAATTAGAATTTTTAGTAATTTTTTCATCATGTTATTTTACAAAAGTAGTAATATGGCATTATTATACAATGTATTGACTAGAAGTCACGAAAATTTCTCAAAAAGAAATTGTAATTTCCAAAGTTATAGCTGTCTTTGTTGACCCAATTCCAGAAAGAGGTCCTTGCAGTGACAATCATAAGTCCTTGGAGATACATCTAAAATCAATCGGATAAAAAAAATAGTTTTATAAATAGATAATCCTGGGCCTGATCGAAGCTTTTTCTAGATTTTTGGGAAAAAATCAACAGTTTTTTTGGTTAATTGGTCTTAAGAAATCGAAATTAAAAAAAAAATCCTTCGATCAGGCCCGAATTTATTATGTATTCTAAAAGCTGTATAAATTTCATTAAAATCTACTGAGCGGTTTTTGAATTACAATTGTCACCAGTTCAAAAAACGAGAGTTTCGAGAAAAATGCATTTAAAGTTTCTTGCAGCTGCCGCCCGAGCGCTCTTTGTTATTTGTCGAATAACTCAAAAAGTAATTATCGGATCAACTTGAAATTTTCAGAGAATTTTGAAAATTCTGACTACCCCTAACCCCTTTGATTAATGATGATTATCCCGTTAGTTCCGAGCGAGACAAACGGTGCCAGCGTAAGTCAACTTGCTTCCTGTGATCAATTTGCGTGTTCTTAAAAATGTTGTGCTTATTGCAAAAGATGTTGTTGGGAGTTTTAAATTGTTGCTACTGCATTCTACATTTTCCAATTTGATGAAGTGCAGAGATCTCCCAGGAAAATTTTAATTTTATGAATGCTGCTAAAAAATATTTATTTTTCTTGCTCTTAAACAAGTCAGTATTCAGAGAATTACTCTGCAACTTCTCTGAGTACTTATTTGCCGTTTTGTAGATTTCCTTCCTTATTCCGTCGGAGTTGTCGTCTTATTTTTTGTGTCTACAATCACAAAAATTAAGAGCTATGGCCCCTACTACGGTTTTCAACCCAACTGCATTTTGGATGCAGTTTTGAAATTCGGTATTATGGTCAGAGAACTTAGAAGAAGTCCATTTACGTTCTCTGGTTAAGCAAGCCAAACATTTTAATTTGAAAAAAAATTCTGAAGAAATGTAACAGTCACAATTTCTTTTGCGCCGCGATCTGATGGTATGAACGAATATCGGTCCAACACCGGGGTGTTCATAATTCAATCGCTTCAAACTCCTTTCGGCAGCGGAAAAAAAGAATTAATTTAAATGTATCATATTTTTTTATTTTTAATGCATATTTATTATAAACATTCAAAAACTTTTTTTTTTGATTCGATTTGAAAAAAATAAACGGCATTCCAAAGGGTTTCATTGCACTTGAATTTCGTGTAAGTTTGGACCCAATCGGAGCAGTAGATTTCGAGAAAACTCAAAAATAAAAATAAATAAATAAAATCGTTCGAATTTCTTCCAAACGACTTGACCGATCGACACCAAAAACTAATCAGTTCTAAACTTTGAAAAAACACATCGTTTGCTCGACGAGCTCAAAAGCAGTGAAAAAAGTGAAATTTGAACGTTAACGTATGAAATTAGCGGGAAGTTGCAGGGATGGCCCTTGAGGCCAACAGTTTTCCACATTTTTTATTTTGTGTTACACATATGTATGTATACCGTTAGTTAAAAATATAATCATCTACAGATCGGTACAGTGGGCAATAAACTCCTTTGAGAAATCTAAATCACCAGGAATAGATGGCATATGGCCAGCACCCCTAAAAAACGATAAGAGATATATGTAACTCTGCACCATAATATGCATACATATATAGAAGGCAAATTAATTAATACAGCTTTATTTCCACTCTCATAAATTTTATTATATTAGGAATGCGATGCATAGCAAAGAGGTATTATTATGCGCTTCCATAGACATTGAAGGAGCATTTGGCACCATTTCTCATGAGGCTGTCGACACAGCGTTACGAAAGAAGCGCGTTGAAGAACCACTTAAAAACAGGATCAACTTCATGCTTAAAAACAGATAATCGGCAATAGTAGTTAGTGAAACCATTCAAGAACGACAAAAGAATGCCCCCAAGGAGGAGTACTATCACCTCTCCTATGGAGCCTAGTAGTAGACGATTTGCTAGACCTTCTGACAAATAACGGAAAAATAACATGCCAAGGTTTTGTAAATGATATCGAAATAATAGCAGTCCTGCAACGACTGCTATAGTGCCATTTACTAGAAAACATAAAATAAATATGAAAGATAAGTGGAAAAGGCACATGGACCAAGCGATCAGTAAAGCGACAAGATAACTGATGATATGCAGAAGATTGGCTAGAAAGACATAAGGATGCACCCCGCAAGATACTGCACTGGATGTATACAATGATAGTAAAGCCAATAGTCATTCCCCACAGTGGAACTAGAAGACCTGCTTGACCTCACGAAGTTATATAGCTTTCGCTAAAGAAACCCCTATTAACAATAATGAGGGATGGGACCGAAAGGAAAGATCGTAACATCAAAAAAAAAAAGCAGGAGAAATAAGGGAAACATTTCCCCTATCCAATTTTAATGGAGACGAAATACTGAATACAATAAATATTGACTACACATTCAGTATAGCTTTAGGAGAAAAAATATCGAGGAATAATCGCAGATAAAGGAAGAAACATAACCACATTAACAAGTGTGGTATACAGATGAATCCAAGATAGCAGAAGGAATAGGCGAGGGGATTATGGACTCAAGAACAAAGCTGGCAATCCCCATGGGCAAATACCCCAGCATCTTCCATCACCTCATGTGCAGAGATCATACTCAGGAGAATACCAGTTAATAAACATATAGTAATTTGCAGCGACAGCCAAGCTGCACTGAAGGCAATATCATCATGCACAATCAAATCGCAGATGGTATGGGAATGTGTCAAGAAACAAAATGAAGAAGGAGAATGGAATAAAGTTCGGCTTCTTTGGGTTCCGGGACATACATGTATTGAAGGAAATGAAATCGCAGACACACTTGCAAAAGAGGCAAAAAAAAAAAAATAAAAAAAAAACCAAATCCAACTCAAACAAACCGTAATCTGAAAAAAGTGTTCATACAATGTTCAACAATACTGCAAGTATTAACACTTCACTTTTTCCAGGAATTCAGTATTGCCAAATAAAAAAAAATAAAAAAGGAACTAAAAATCACACCAAAAAAGTTTACGTACATTTCTTTTTTTTTCTGTGCTTTTGGGGGATCTAACGGTTATCAATTACTTGAGTTTAAAACTGTTCAACTGCTCAAATTATATTGCAGTAAAGTTTCAATTTTGTGTTAAACCTGAAAGTGTAAATTCAGATGGATGGAGTATAATTTTGAATGGTAAAAAACTGTCAAAAAAAAAAAAGAAAGAAGTGTTAGTCCGAAGTATGCGCCGGCGTCTTCAAACAATTGTTGCAAAAGGGGAACATAATATTCACTCAAAACCAATTGTAACATAATTTTTCAAAATTTCAAAACTGTACGTAAACTTTTTTTGTGTTAGAAATTAAAGTTTTTTTTTTGTTTTTAATCCTTTTGCTTTTTATTACTTTAGAAAATGGGAAACTAGTTATGGTTGTGTATAATAAATTCGCGTTTTTTTTTTATATATAAGAAAGGATAGATTTGATTGAGTTTCTTCACAGAAACACCTTGTACGTAAACTTTTTTTACTCACTATAAGTACATACTATGTGCATAAGTGTCAGAAAAAAATTGCAGCCTTAAAATATTTTTTCTGGAAACATAATGCTTAGAAATGTACTTAAATTAATTTTGTTTTAGGAAATAACGAATCCTACTTTCAATTGGCAAAATGTTGTACTTGTAAAAAATACTTATAAGCTTTGAAACAAAATTTTTATTTTATGCCTGAATTAAGCTCATAGAAAAAAAATTACCTTCTTATGTACCGATTACATACTTTATGCACATTGCGAAAATAAATTAATAACTTTTACAATTATACATCATTGATTCCGTATGTATCTTGACTCTTCGCACTGCCTGAATTTTCACCAAAGAAAACTTCTGCAAATTCATTTAATTCTTCGGGTGTTTTTTTCGCGGATAACTTTGTGCCATGTGACTTCATATGCCCACTTAGACCAGCGTACTGGGCGAATCGTTTTCCACAAATTTTACATACATATTTTTTGAAGGCGTCATGTATACGTTTATGTTGTTTTAATTGCATGGGACTTTTGAATCCTTTGTTGCATATATCGCATATTTGGTCTCTTGTAGCTCGGTGAACGCTCATGTGCTCTCTATATAGTCCTTTAGTGTAGAAACCTTTTCCACATACTTCACACCTATGACGTGGTCGATTTTCATGACGCCGCATATGTGTATTAAATTTTGATGCTGTTTGGAATTTATTTCCGCATATGTCACAAACAAAAGGTTTTTCTCCAGTATGAAAACGCATATGAACCTTTAACTCTGTTGTCGTTGCACAGGGCTTATTACAAATTTCACAACTATAAGTGTAGTCATGCACATGCCTTCGTAAATGTACAGTTAAATTTGTTGCTAATTTAAAACCATGTCCGCAAATATGACATTTAAATGGCAGCGAACCATCATGAGACGCTAAATGTACTTTATACAGACCAGAACCGGAAACTACTTTTCCACATATTGTACATTCAAATGGATTTACATCGACTTCCAGGAATGTAATGTGTTCGTAATAGGGACATACTGGTTTATACTCTGTATTTTTTTGTTTACATAATATCTTTTCTTTCTTTTCAATGGAGCAAGCTTTTCGTAACCGTAGGATTTCTCTTTCCAATTCCTGTTTTTCTAGATTTAAACCGGTTTCACTTTTAAATTCTTCATGAACGGCTTTTGCGGCTTCCCTACGTCGGTTACTGAATCGATACGCTATATCATTTTCATCCCAAAGGCTTGGATATCTCCGATATATTTTAGCAAGCGTAATAAATTGGTCGTCATTCAAAAGGCTTTCTGGAGGTGGGGGTTTCTTCATAAATTGTTTACAATTAAACTGAAAAAAATTTTAAAAAAATAATAATAAACTTTAGGCGAAGGTTATTTACAACTACATAGGAAGGAAAGCAGCACCAGCAATATCATTGTCTTTATCTTGGATTGCGAACAGAAGCCAATATATTGATTTTATAATATTACTTATTATGCTTTTACTTAGAAGACCTATGCACGTATGTATTAATATGTTATCTTACCTCTGATCTTTCCAAATTTCTTCTTTCGATATACTCCTCACGCTTTTCGTTGTCTAACAAAAATGTCATTGCATCAAAATAGTAAAGAGTTGATTTCTCAAATGCTGATATCCGTTTGGATTCTCTTCGAAAAGTTGTACGCAATCTAAAAATCTTTTGCCTGACATCATCTTTTGTGGCGTTTGGATACTTTTCTTTATATTTTTCAAGTAAGATATCATATTGTTGATTGCGTACCAATCTATCGGTATAAGAGTCGCACTTCGAGTCCCACAGTGCACTGCATGAATGATATACTTCTATAAGTTCTATAATAAATCTTCGCTTTGCGTCACAGTTACTAGCTTTCATTTCTTTACTGTTTTCGGTTGGCTTAGTTTCGTTTTCTTCTAAATTATAAGATTCTTCGTAATCTAAATCGCTGCTAGATTTGTATTCATGCTCTGTCACCTCATGGCTTTCATCAATTTTAAAGTTTTCCTAAAATAAAGAGTTTACAAATTAAGTGGTTTCCGTAAACATTATATAAAACTTACATTTTCCATACTGTCTTCGTTAACGAAATCTTTTGGAGTTACTTCCCCTTTGATGTCAATAGAACGTTTAATGTCACTCGTGTCCAGTTCAATTTCGACTCTCTCAAAGTCTCTCATATTATAATCATCATCATCATCCGCCTCCTGTAAAACATACGCTTTTGTCTTATCTCAACTTATTTTAATACGTTGATGTACGTTAGTTACCTCTAAATTTTTAACTGAATTCAGACATTCTTCCAAGTCATCTATTTCTTCATCATATTGATCAATTTCATTGTCCTCTTCCTCTACTTTTGGTTGATTAATTTCGACTATGTGGTCTTCGCACATATGTTGCATAAAATTCTCCAATTGCAAAAAGGAATAGTCACAAAATTCGCAGTTCAAGAAAAATTCTTTCTTTCCCACTGACAGCATTGTAGTTATTTCTCCACATTTCTTTAATTTACTACATTCTATTATTTGTTTTTCAAATCCCAACGCCATCATGTGCTTTTCATCCAAACTTTAATTACAAGAATACAAAATATTTCTTATTCCACTGCTTTAAAATGAAAACACGCACAATAACATCCAATCCAAAACTCTATGCTGGAGATATAAATATTAAATCGATTACTTCTTGCTATCGATAATACTTAAGGCGCATTCGCAGTGCCACTTCCAAATCGTAAGAACAAAATAGAATCGGCGACATATTATCAGTTGTAAACTTGAATAACGTATAATAAAACGTTAAGTTGTTGAATAAGAAATAAAGATACATGTTTATCTATTAACGCTGCAGTTACAAGATCAAGAACTTGCTGTCACTTAAATTATTTATCAAAATTTATATAAATTGACAAATTGATTATCAAAAATAGTTTCAAGATGCCGACGTCATGAATACCACTTGAAACTCTTAAAAGTTATGTAAATCAATAATTTACTGGAAAGATGGAGTGGGAAGAAAGAGATGAGTTGAAAAAATACATCTGATTGCACGAAAGCAACTTTAGAGTTTATTCAAAATCCAGATTTTGTTTCTTTTTTTCAGCTTTACTTGTTCTGCACTATAAGCTATTCGGGAGACAAAAACATTTTAGTTTCTACAGAAATTAATTAACAAACTGATATTTTGATATATATCCATTAATATAACGAAATATATGTATTCCCGACAATTGCATGGCATTTGCTTACAAAACTAAGATTTAACTTAATCGTCAAGTTGCCACACGACTTGAATGGAAAAACTGATATCAAGGCAACGTTGAAGTTCGAAAAGTGAGAGTGTGGTAGTAGAAAAGTTACAAGGGCCATACAGCCATCACATACAGTTTTCCTCGCTTCGCCAGTTCATACTGAAACAACTAAGCGCATAAAACAAAGGGTATGGAACAATGAACGCTTTTCTTTCAGTGATTCTCTCTAATAAAAATGGCGACTATTGCTTGGAAAAGCGTAAAAAGATGAGAGTTGCCCAACTTTTTGCTAGCCTTCGCGTCGAAAACTTTTTATATGGACTTACTCATACAAGGGGAACATCGAACGTGCCTGTCAAAATAAATGTCTGATGTAAAGCAAAGTAAAAATTCTAAGTGAATTGGCCATATTTGTATTGCAACTTGAAAGAAAAGAAATTTCTTGATCGTGTAACATCCGGGTAAATAGGGATTTTTATTTATCAATCTAGAGATCGAACCCAAGGTAGAATTTCAACGTAGTCGATTAATCGAGAAATCCGTTACAGTATTCAACTATTGTCCTCTTATAATAAATGATATCTATTGCTTTTGTTTTTTAATACATTAAATAATTGACTACTTCTACATATCACATCACCTCTTCCCATACTTGAGTCGCAATGGTTAAGACTTTTGATCGTAGACTGTACCTACGTTACAGTCTGTCTGCCGAAATTAATTTGATATGATACTCGACTCAGAGAGGAAAGAGCAGGCAGGGAGAGACACTGGCAACACCTCCAAGGCATGCGCCATGCCAAGTTGCTACTGGGGAGCTATAACCTCAGACGGTTCAAAACCGTAATCAATCTCCCGAGGAACAAATTTCGACTTCTGGCTTAACAAGCATTTATTTAACATGGGCTTGGTCTCCTCTGCAAACTGCCGGTTCTGTGACATGGAGTCGGAAACCCCAGAACACCTACTAATGGACTGCACAGCTGTCTGCAGACGTAGAGTCAAGGCCCTGGGATCCATGTTTCCAAACAGGGATCGCATCGCCTCATTGGCGCCTAGCAGTATATTGGAGTTCATCAATACGCTAGGGCTAGATGAGTCGCTGTGACTTAGGGGAGGGCACAATAGACCATAGGTCGCGGTGCATACCTCAATCACTATCTATCTATCTATCTACTCGACTCAGTTATATAAAAATTAAAGTAATTCAACTAAACTGCAATTTGGTAATACGAATTACAACTAATTTTTGTTGAAATTTCATTGATGTTCATAATCTAATAAGTGAGAATTTAGTAGATAAATAATAGTCGATGAATTTGGAAAAAATATTTAAAGCAATGCAACTCATTATTGTTGGGGAAAGGGTCATTAAATATTAAAATATACATGGTTTTTTATTATATACTACTAAGGGCCGTTTTCTCAATGTCTGGTTAATATTATCCTTAACTGCGGATAGCTTAACTGGATGATAGATTTTACTGACAAAACCGTTTTCACCAAGTTGTAGTTAGCTGACCTACAGTTAGTTTGATTATTGTGCCTAGCGAGAACAGTTCACAAAACTTACATTGTGAATACGCAAACTGTTTAAACGTCATGAGCCATGTATGTGCACGCACGACCCAAACCGGGTTTCGTACGCAAATGGACGACGATGACAGGCGAAGAGACCGTGCAGCTCGTACTCAGAAGACATGCTTTGTGTTCTTTTCTTAACATACCTTTTCATTTAAAATTTCTTTTCGTGGTTGCAACAGCGCTCGGTTTCAAAGGAATATTTACATTGTATGTAAATCGAAAATTTGTTTTGTATGTAATATCCATATATATACATGTAGGGATATTCATAATATACAATGATAATGAGCGACGAAAGAGCCCCCGTCTGGACGACGTATTTTCTTATAACAGCTGATTTTTCTTGTAGAATTTCTAGCTGATAGTGGTCATTTCATGTTCTGGTTTGAAATTAACCAAACCTCCTTCTTTCGGTAAATTTTACTAGAACTTAACTGACAGATAGTTGCTAACCGTTTTTCAACATGATGCCAATAAAATGTGTGAAATGGAAGACAGGAAATCTCTGCTAGAAATGCTGGACTTCTGTCTCTTGTATGAACGCACTGAGCGACACCAAAAGAGAATTTGCCGATAATGAGTGGAAAAAATACCACATCTGAACGCCGACTTACTAAGCGAAATGGCGCGGGAAATTTCGGGTGTAAATGTGTCGGTAGTTATAATTGGGGATTCGGTTTTTGATTTAGCAAACCACTGATGAAACCGTATCCATTTGGCTTAAATCAAATTCATCAAGAAAAGGTATTTAACTACGCTATTTCGAAAACACGTAGAGTTGTCGAAAAGTCAAGTAGTAGGTATTAATTTTTCGTCGTTTACATACTCTTCCTTTGCTTTTTGTCTTGTTTCCTTAAAATCTTCATTTGATTTCTCCATTATTTTTCTATTTTGGCAAATTTTTTCAACCTTAAACTTTAGAAATGATTTCTTTATAACGCTTTTATTAGCTTCATCTGTATGTTTACATGTATGTGACAAAATAATCAAAAGTTTAATAGGCACTGCAAAAAATAACAATGCCCCTAAAATACAGCATTAACTATCCATGCTGCTATTTGAATAACAAATTTGCTCAAACACATCCTAAAAGAAAGTGAAAACACCACGTGTGGCTAATTAATAACAATGATATAAAAAACGAAAAAAACATTCTTTTGTATATTTTTTTCTGTCAATATATTGTCAGTTTATGCTAAGAATTATTTTTTACTTTTTAGTTTAAAGTTTTTTAAAAGCGTTTTTTTAGTGTTTCTAAACTATATTTTCCAGATTCGCTTATTACTAAGGGCCCGGGTGCCGAGATGGTCAATGATGAAAGCTAGATTGTCGACATCGTCACAACTGAGGACGAAGGTAGGCAAACCGGTGATGACAACGGATATGCGGCAACAAGAAATGAAGAAGACGCAGCTGAATCTAACAAAATTTGCAGCGGTTCTGAGAGAGTAGAATTGCACATTGAAGTATTGAATTTTTAAAAATATACATATGTAAATATAAATTATATACTCAATTAAAAAAACACAGGTTTCTTACTCTGGAAGCTTTCTTCCGCTAATCTCGAATTTATGTATTTAGAACGGAAGTAACTTAAAATTTGCCATTAAAATAAAAATAAAGTAACTAAAGATTCACAATTTCATAATTTTTGCTTACAAACACTACTGGCATTGTAAAAATATAACTTTCCACACTGTTTTAATAACATACAAAATAACATTCGTTTCATATACATTTTTTTTTCGAATGGTCTTTCTGATATTTTCTTTGATTTTCTTACGGAAAATGGCTGTTAAATTAAGATAAAGACAAGAAAAAACGATACCCTTCAGATATACAAATATTCCATATTACTTGATTTTGAACAAGTTCTGCGTAGGTTGTATCGTTGCCTCGGACAATAATGAAGATATCTTGTCACCTAAAAAGATTTGTTCATACAGGGACTGGATTTTGATCGATCAGTTTGTATGGGAGCTATAGATATAGCAATCCGATCTGAAAATTTTATTTCGGATATTGTACCGTTGCTATGGACAAAAACCCATACCAAATTTAGTTTAAATATCTTTTAAATTAAAAAAACTGGAAAACATATGTATGTGTATGTAGTAAATCAATAAACAAGTAAAATTTTGTTTTAATGAATATAAGTTTTACGTAGCACTTTATCATTCATTACTGCATCATTTTGGCTGTAAGCCATTGTGTATTAGTGAAGGATTTGTTACGCCTACTTTCGACAAAATTAAAGTATTATCAAATAGTTGTACATATCAATTCATTATTTTTTTCTCAAAATTTAAACGAAATATAGTAATAATTATCCATGAAAATAATATGCATCTTACTTTCAAAGAGAGGATATTATCCAAATGTACTCGTAAACAAAATTATCAACAAAAAAATAAATTACACTGAGCTCATTACTGCTTACATTTTTAAAATATTTGGGTTGCACCGAAGCTATTAATACCCTTCACAAATACAAAGGCTCCTTATAAGAACTTGATTCCGATCGTTCAATTTGTATGGCAGCTATACGCTATAGTGGTCAGTTTCTTAGTGAGGAAAGAACAGGTGCAAAATTTCAGGACGATAGCTTAATAATTGAGGGACTAATTTGCATATATACAAACGGACGGAGAGACGGACATGGCTAAATCAACTCAGCTCATCATGCTGATCATTTATGTATATATTTTATAGGTTTCCTTCTGGGTGTTTCGTGGCAAACTAAATATACCCTGTTCAGGGTATAATTACTTAACAAAGAACGTGATTTGAAGTGTATATATTTTTAAATACTAAAAAAAAAAAAAGAAAAAACATTTTATTTACCTCCTGCAAAGTTTTGTTATTAAAAATAAATTTCTCTTTTAAAATATTCGTAATTCATATTTTCTAAACTTAATTTTCAGCAGAAAATGCATATAATTAATGAATTTGCTTTCACTTACAAAAAACGTAAAAGTTAAGTAAACTTTATTTGTTTACATTGTAGAATAGAAATGGAAATTTTAAGGAGTAAAAATATATCACGTCATCGAATGAAGATATTATCAATAATTAAAATAGCACATTAACAATGCTATTTCCCCTCTAGGAAATATTTTCTCATTTGTTTTTAACTTGACTATCACCTTTAAGTTATTTGAATCAAGAGAGCATTTCATTTAATATGGTATTTGGTTATGTTAGAACATTCGATGAATAATTAAATGACATAAGTCATTTTCTGGTTTATTGGACTCTCAACCACTCACCTAATTGAAGACTTATTTTTTGTTTTATTTCTTATTTATTTCAAGCTATCAATATATTTTACTTCGAATTTACGTTTCCGTGCGTTTTCATATGCCCACTGAGACCTGCATATTGCGCAAAACGCTTTTCACAGATTTTGCATGAGTACTTTTTCTCGGCGTTGTGGATGAGCTGATGCTGGCGTAATTGTTTATTGGTAGTAAAACCTTTATCGCATATCTCGCATATTTTATCTCTGATATTCCGGTGAATACTCATGTGTTCGTATAAAGAACCAGTTTCGTAAAAGGTTTTAGGACATAATTTACACTTGTGACGAGGTCGTTTCTGATGTCGCAGTGTATGTGTTAAAAGATGTGAAGATGTTCGTGTTCTGTACCCACAAAAATCGCAAACGAATGGCTTCTCATCGGTGTGGGAACGCATATGAATCTTCACTTCCGTGGACGTGGCGCAGGGTTTGTTGCATACTCCACAACTGAAAGTGTAGTCATGTACATGTCTACGTAAGTGTACTGCTAAATTACACGCCAGCTGAAACCCATGCCCGCAGATGTCACATTTAAATGGTAACGAGCCATCATGTGCGGCAAAATGTACTTTAAAGGCATCAGGACCACGTATTACTTTTTTACATATCGAGCATTCGAAAGGTCCAACATCCTTTTCGAGAAACTCAAGATGTTCGGAATATGCAAATTTTGCTTGATATTTCAACTTTTTTCTTTTGGCTATTAGTTTTCGGTTCTTTTCGAAAGAACACAATTTTCGCAGTCTCATAACTTGCTTCTCTAGATCAATTTGCGTCATATTTAAACCAGTTTCGTTATTAAAATTTTCGCATACAAATCGCATAGCTTCCTCGCGCCTATTTTTAAATCTATATGTGATGTCCGTTTCATTCCAGAGGCAGGTGTGCTCTTTGTAAATCTCTGCCAAAATTACAAGGTTGCTCTCGTCTAAATAAAATTTGGTGCAGAAAATCGAAACAAATTTTTTTTACTAAAACCAATGGTCAGTGCGACAAATTGAGTGTATATCAAATTTAAACATTAGAGATGTCTACAATTTGTTAATTGTTGATTCGCTAATTTATTCCCAGAGTTACCAATATATCAAAGATTTTCAATGTTTATTACTTTAACAAAGCAAAATGACTTTATAATATAAATTTTGATACATACTAAGACTTTTTGTGCAAATGAATGTTGCGTCTCCCGCTAAAATTGTAAATATCATATTTTCAGCTCAAACATGATTTGCCATCTTAGATAAAAATACTCCTCAATTCAGACAAATCCGTCGATGAAAATATAGTTTCTTAATAATAAAAAGAAGATAAATTACAAACTATTCGCATAATCTTTATTTTAAAGATTTTATTATCATTATTAGGTTGTCGTCTTTCCATTAGCAAGATATATATTTGGTTTTGTAAACTCTTATTAAATACATATTCATTATCATTTCTGTTTCCATCATAAATACAATATTGGTTAAGTTATAATTCGAGCAATAATTAAACAACTTTATTAATTTTCAATTCATTGGATACTCAACCACCTCTTATTAAGGATTAAATATTTATTTTATTTCGTACTTATTTCAAGTAGACATATTTTATTTCTTTAAGTTTCCATGTGATTTCATGTGCCACGAGACCTGAAGATTGGAAAACGTTTTCTAAATTTTGCAATTTTTCGGATCATGAAGAGCCGATTTCGTAGTCTTTCTTGTAATGAAGCCTTTACATATCTCATATTTACTTTGATATACTGTGAATATTCGTGTTTCGTAATATTTGTTTGTCGTAGAAGTTTTAGGACATAGTTCACACTTTAAACCCGTCGTTTCAGATGTCGTCGTTTATGCGCAATAAGATGGGAAGATGTTCCTTCTGTGCCAAGATCACAAACAAAGGCTTCATTGGTGTGAACGCATATGAATCTTCAGTTCTGTGGACGTGCGCAGAGTTTGTTGCATATCTTACAATCATAGTGTAGTCTTGTATGTCTACGTAAGTGTACTGCTAAATTAGAAATTTGATAACCATTCCGCAGATGTCACATTTAAATGTATTGAGATCATGTCCGCAATATGTACTAAAACATCTGACCATGTATTCTTTACATATCAGACGTAAGGTCCAACATCATTTTCAGAAACTCAAATTTTGAAATATGCAAATTTGGTTGATATTTTAAGTTTTCTTTGGCTATAGTTTTCGTTCTTTATGAAAACACAATTTCCGTAGGGTCTTAACTTTTTCTAAATCAATTTGCGTCATAAACCAGTTTCGTTATTAAATTTTGGCACAAATCGCATAGCTTCGCGCCTTTGTAATCTATATGTGATGTCCTTTTCATTCCAGAGGCAGTGTGCTCTTTGTAAATCTCTGCCAAATTATAAATTGCTTATCGTCTAAAACCAATGTTGTATCCTGAAATCGAAATAAAATTTGATATTACTAAACAATGGTCAGTGACGACGTATGAGTGACATATAATTTGTTTATTAATTTTGATTTGGTAACATTTTACCACAGCAAAATTAAATGTAAGCTGATCTAACTCGCGTCTTGTAGATACGAGTGAAACTTGTTATTTGCAACGACCTACAACTATCAGATGAAAAGTTTACTTGACATTTTCAGAACGATCCTAAAACCAAAGGCTGAAAGAGATGCCGTTAAATTGAGTTTATGAAGGACAGCAATTAAACCCTCTTGTTCTGATCAAAATTGGTCATATAACGCTCGCTTTTCAATGATGAAGTGGCCTTCTTTAGGCGGTCTTTGAGCTTACAAGTGCAAAAAGATTAGTGTGAAAAATACAAAAGATTGGTATAGCATTCGAAAGAGTTATGGCGAATAACATCCATGCCTCGAGAAAGTCAGAAGTGTAAAATAAACATACCCCATACCTTTAAAGTTATTAAAATTTACTGTGGAAATGAAATATCTTAATAATTTTTCCTTCTCTATTTTGCCACTTGTGAAAAAGTATAAAGGATAAATAAATGTGTTAAATTTCTTCTCTACAAAATAAAACCAAAAATATTACAAAATTGTTCTAAACCTAATCTAATGATATAGAACAAATATATAAGCGGAGAATAAATAAAAATATAATATGTATGAAATATATGTTCCGTTATCGCAACGTTATTGTGAAAATCGATAAAAAGCAAGATAATAATGAGATTTAATTGTTTAAACCTCTTTAAATGTTTATACTTGCACCATAAGTCAGCTGAAATGTAAGTTACGGAAAATTATCATTTCTTTAAATATCGATAAATACAATACTTGGTTAAGTTATAAAATTCGAGCATAATTAAACAACTTTATTCAATGGATCCTCAACCACAATTTTATTAAAGAATTCATATTTTTCTTATTTATTTTAGGCTGGAACATATTTATTTTTAATTTCCTTTCTGTGCGATTCATATGTCCACAGAGACCTGCAGATTGGCAAACGTTTTCAAATTTTAAGAGTATTTTCTCGGGTCATGATGGAGATGTTGGCTTAGTCTTTGTTGTTATAACCCTTATTGCATATCTCGCATATTTTATCTTTGATAGTATTGTGAATATTCGTGTGTTCTCGTAATACTCGTTTGTGGCAAGGATTTAGGACGTTGACGTCAAACCCGTCGTTTCAGATGTCGCTGTTTGCTGCAGTAAGAGAAGATGTCCCTGTTCTGTGCACAAAAATCAAACAAAACCCTCTCATTGTGTGGAACGCATATGATCTTCAGTTCTGTGGACGTGGCGCAGTTTATTGCATATCTTAATCATAGGTGTAGTCTTTACATGTCTATAAGTGTACTCTAAATTAAAGACAGTTGATAACCTTCGCAGATATCACATTTAAATGGTATGAGCCATCATGTCCGGCAATATGAATTTTAAAGGCATCTGGACCATGTATTCTTTTTTTACATATCGGGCAATCGTAAGGTCCAACATCATTTTCGAGAAACTCAAGATGTTCGAAATATGCAATATTTGGTTGATATTTTAAGTTTTCTTTGGCTAATTTTCGGTTCTTTAGAAAGAACACAATTTCGTAGGGTCTTAACTTTTTCTAAATCAATTTGCGTCATATTTAAACCAGTTTCGTTATTAATTTTGGCATACAAATCGCATAGCTTCGTCGCGCCTATTTGTGAATCTATATGTGATTCCTTTCATTCCAGAGCGGTGTGCTCTTTGTAAATCTCTGCCAAAATTATAAATTGTTATCGTCTAAAACAATGTTGTATCCTGAAATCGAAATAAAATTTGATATTACTAAAAACCAATGGTCGAGTGAACGACGTATTGAGTGGACATTATAATTTGTTTATTAATTTTGATTTGGTAAAATTTTTACTTTCAGTTATCTATCAGAAATTTAAATTTTTAGAATTTTACCACAGCAAAATGAAATGTAACTTTAATGCTATACTGTCTTTGTATGCAAACGAGTGAAACTTTTATTTGCAACGACCTCTACAACTATTAGATAAAAGTTTACCGTTGACATTTTCAGAACGATCCTAAACCAAAGGCTGAAGAAGAGATGCCGTTAAATTTGTACAAAGATTGATAGCATTCCGAAAGAGTTATGTGTCAGAAATGGCATCCATGCCTCAAGAAAGTCAGGAAGTATTAAAATAAAGGTACTATCCCATACATTTAAAGTTATTAAAATTTTACTGTGGAAATGAAATATCTTTCCTTCTCCATTTTTGCCACGAAAAAGTATAAAGGATAAATAAATGTGTTAAATTTCGTTCATCTACAAAATAAACCTAAAATACTTTACAAAATTTTCTAAAACCAGTGTATATGTTCTCATGATATAGAACAAATTTCCATAAGCGAGAATAAATAAAATATAAATGTATAAAATTATTATGTTCGTTATCGCAACGTTATTGTGAAAATCGGTAAGAAAGAAGCAGATAATATATGAGATTTAATTTTATACCTCTTTTAAATGTTTATACTTTATAGCACCATAAGTCAGCTGAAATGTAAGGGTTAGGAAATTATCATTTATGATTAATATCGATAAATACAATATTGTTAAGTTATAATATTCGAGCAGTAATTAAACAACTTTATTCATTGATCCTCAACAACAATTTTTTTAAAGAATCATATTTTTCTTATTTATTTTAGGCTGTGAACATATTTTATTTTAATTTAAGTTTCCATGCGATTTCATATGTCCACAGAGACCTAGATTGGCAAAACGTTTTCAGATTTTACAAGAATACTTTTTCTCGGGTCATGAATAAGACGATGTTGACGTAGTTTATTGTTGGTAATGAAGCCTTTATTGCATATCTCGCATATTTTATCTCTGACAGTACTGTGAATTTTCGTGTGTTGTCGTAATACTTGTTTGTGGCAGAATGCTTTAGGACATAGTTCACACTTGTAAATCCGTTGTTGCAGATGTCGTCGTTTATGCGCAGTAAGAGCGGAAGATGTTCCTGTTTTGTGCCCACAAAAATCACAAACAAAAGGCCTCTCATTGGTGTGGGAACGCATATGAATCTTCAGTTCTGTGGACGTGGCGCAGAGTTTGTTGCATATCTTACAATCATAGGTGTAGTCTTGTACATGTCTACGTAAGTGTACTGCTAAATTAGAAGAAATTTGATAACGATGCCCGCAGATGTCACATTTAAATGGTATTGAGCCATCATGTCCGGCAATATGTACTTTAAAGGCATCTGGACCATGTATTCTTTTTTTACATATCGGACAATCGTAAGGTCCAACATCATTTTCGAGAAACTCAAGATTTTTGAAATATGCAAATTTTGGTTGATATTTTAAGTTTTTTCTTTTGGCTATTAGTTTTCGGTTCTTTATGAAAGAACACAATTTCCGTAGGGTCTTAACTTTTTTTTCTAAATCAATTTGCGTCATATTTAAACCAGTTTCGTTATTAAATTTTGGCACAAATCGCATAGCTTCGTCGCCTATTTGTGAATCTATATGTGATGTCCTTTTCATTCCAGAGGCAGGTGTGCTCTTTGTAAACCTCTGTCAAAATTATAAATTGCTTATCGTCTAAAACCAAATTTGGTGCATCCTGAAATCGAAACAAAGTTTGATGTTACTAAAAACCAATGGTCGAGTGAACGACGTATTGAGTGGACATTATAATTTGTTTATTAATTTTGATTTGAAATTTTTACTTTCAGTTATCTATCAGAAATTTAATATTTTTAAATTTACCACAGCAAAATGAAATGATGCTTTTGATGCTATACTCGCGTCTTTGTATGCAAACGAGTGAAATTTGTTATTTGCAACGACTTCTACAACTATCAGATGAAAAGTTTACCGTTGACATTTTCAGAATGATCCTAAAACCAAAGGCTGAAGAAGCGATGCCGTTAAAATTGAGTTTATGCAGGACAACGAATTAAACCCTCTTAATCTATCAAAATATGTCATATAACGATCGCTTTTCAATGAGGAAGTGGCCTTTAGGCGGTCTTTAGAGCTACAAGTGCAGATATAGAAAGATTAGTACAGAAAAGATTGGTAGCAATCCGAAAGAGTTATGTGCCAGACCAATGGCATCCATGCCTCGAGAAAGTCAGAAGTATTAAAAAGTATACCCATACCTTAAGTTATTAAAATTTTGGTGGAAATGAAATATCTTAATTCGTTTTCTTCTTTTTTGCCACTTGTGAAAAATAAATGTTAGATAAAATGTGTTAAATTTCATTCATCTACAAAATAAAACGGAAAATACTATGAACATTACAAAATTTAGTCTGAAACCAGTGTATATGTTCTCATATATAGAACAAATTTCCATAAGCGGAGAATAAATAAAATAATAATTATTGTGAAAATCGGAAAAAGAAGCAAGATAATATATGAGATTTAGTTTTTAAACCTCATTTTAAATGTTTATACTTACAGCACCATAAGTCAGCTGATATGTGGTTACGGAAATTATCATTCTGATTAATATCGATGAATACAATATTGTTAAGTTATAATATTCAGAGTAATTAAACAACTTTATTCATTGATCCTCAACAACAATTTTTATTAAAGAATTCATATTTTATTTATTTCAGACTGTGAACATATTTTATTTTTAATTTACGCTTCCGTGCGATTTCATATGTCCACAGAGACCTGCAGATTGGGCAAAACGTTTTCACAGATTTTGCAAGAGTACTTTTCTCGGGGTCATGAATAAGACGATGTTGTAGTTTGTGTTATAATGAAGCCTTATTGCATATCTCGCATATCTTATCTCTGACAGTACTGTGAATTTTCGTGTGTTGAATATTTGTTTGTCGTAGAAAGTTTTAGGACATGTTCACACTTAAACCGTCGTTTCAGATGTCGCCGTCTATGCGCGATGGGAGATGTTCTGTTCTGTGCCCAAGATCACAAACAAAGGCTTCTCATTGGTGTGGGAACGCATATGAGTCTTTAAGTCTGTGGACGTGGCGCAGAGTTTGTTGCATATGCATGCTATATGTGTATCTTGTACATGTCTAAGTGTGCTGCTAAATTGAAGAGATTGATAACCATGTCCGCAGATATCACATTTAAATGGTATTGAGCCATCATGTCCGGCAATATGTACTTTGAAGGCATCTGGACCATGTATTCTTTTTTTACATATCGGGCAATCGAAAGGTCCAACATCATTTTCGAGAAACTCAAGATGTTCGGAATATGCAAATTTTGGTTGATATTTCAATTTTTTTCTTTTGGCTACTAGTTTTCGGTTCTTTATGAAAGAACACAATTTCCAGGTCTTAACTTACAAATCTGCGTCATATTTAAACCAGTTTCTTATTAAATTTTGGCCATAATCGTCTTCGTCGCGCCTATTTGTGAATCTATATGTATGTCCTTTTCATTCCAGAGGCAGGTGTGCTTTCTGTAAACCTCCCAAAATTTAAATTATCGTCTAAAACCAAATTTGGTGCATCCTGAAATCGAAACAAAATTTGATGTTACTAAAAACCAATGGTCGAGTGAACGACGTATTGAGTGGACATTATAATTTGTTTATGGTTTTTGATTTGGTAAAATTTTTTACTTTCAGTTAATTTTACAATTCATGACAGCAAAAATGCACTTTTATAAATGTAAATTTTTGATGCTATACTCGGTATTTGTGCGCGAATGAGTGAAATTTTTTATTTGCAGCGACCTCTACAACTATTAGATGAAAGTTTTACAGGTGACGGCTGTATCTCCCACTAAACAAGACATATCAACGATAAATAAGTATAAGAATGGAAACAGTATGGATCGCTCTAATTTCGTTGTTTTGGGATTTCTTATGAGCGCGGATAACTGATTAACGTGAATAACTTGTTAACTATACATAAAATATTTAATGAAATAAGGAGAAAATATGAAGGTCTAGGCGTCCTGAAAGACTAGCGTTTAACCCCTAATACACAATTAAGACTGTTAGGGACGGCAGCGACTCAATTATGGTATGGTTTGCTTCTCATCTCTGCTGTCGGACTAGTCCACTGGATAAGGGATAGAATGTGTGCAGTAGACTATTTGGAAATTTGTTCTGGAAACAACCTTCGAATCTCGTCAAGCACTAGTCATATAACGAACGCTTTTCCATTGTGGAGTGGCCTTTAGAGTTTCCGGATCTTAATCCGTCACCATTAATTCTGGAACCAGTGTATAACATATGTTTTCATAATATGGAACAAATTTCCATAAGCGGATAATAAATATTTATGAAATTATTATGTTCCGTTATCGCAACGTTATTGTGAAAATTGGTAAAAAGAAGCAAGATAATATATGAGATTTAATTTTTTAAACCTTTTTTTATATGTTTATACTCTACAGCACCAAGTCAGCTGAAATGTAAGGGTTGCGGAAAATTATCATTTCTGTTTAATATCGATAAATACAATACTTGGTTAAGTTATAACATTCGAGCAGTAATTAAACAACTTTAATAATTTTTCATTTATTGGATACTCAGATTACGACTAGAGACTATACTCTTTTTAAGGAGTTAAATTTTTATTTCATTTCTTACTTATTTCAATATGAACATATTTTATTTCAAATTTAAGTTTTAGTGCGGTTTTCCACAAATTTTGCAAGAGTACTTTTTCTCAGGGTTACGGATGAGCTGATGCTGGCATAGTGATTTGTTGGAAACGAAGCCTTTATATCTCACACATTTGAATCACTTTTGTGTTCATGTAATGTTCGTGTTTCGTAGAAGGTTATAGGACATATGTAGTTCATACTGTCGTTTCTGATGTCGCAGTCTATGTGTTATAAGATGTTCGTGTTTTGTACACTCAAAAATCACAAACATATGGCTTCTAATCTGAGTGGATACGCAAATGAATCTTCATATCCCTGGACGTGGCGCAGAATTTGTTGCATACCCCACAACTAAAGGTGTAGTCATGTACATGTCTACGTAAGTGTACAGCTAAATTACAAGATAGCTGATAACCATGCCCGCAGATGTCATATTTAATATCCTTTTCGAGAAACTCAAGATGTTCGGAATATGCAAATTTTGATTGATATTTTAAGTTTTTTCTTCTCATAATTTCCGCAGGGTCTTAACTTTTTTTTCTAAATCAATTTGCGTCATATTTAAACCAGTTTCGTTATTAAATTTTTCGCATACAAATCGCATAGCCTTGTCGCGCCTATTTGTGAATCTATATGTGATGTCCTTTTCATTCCAGAGGCAGGTGTGCTCTTTGTAAATCTCAGCCAAAATTTTAAATTGCTCGTTTAAACCAAAATTTGGAAAATTCTGACATCGAAAAGAACTTGTTACTCCAATGGTCGAGTGAACGACGTATTGAATGGACAGCTCGAATTTAAACGTTATTTTTTTATTTAGTTTGTTTTTTTGATTTGTTAACATTTTTTATATCATAAATATATTTACTTTCGGTTTTATCAAACTATCATAGGGATTTTTTGGATTTAACACAACAAAAATGCACTTCTTAAATGTAAATTTTTTATACCGACCTCGGTGTTAATATACGTTTGAGTTAAACTAAATAAATGTAAAAATGCAAACCCACGACACGAAGGTTTCACTGCCTTATGGTAACTTCTGTCAGGCGATACCGCGGATAAGTTCGTAACTTGTATAAGAAATGTTTGTAAAATATCATCATACTTTTTTGCAACTCAAACGATTGGTTGGTCCATCATAGGCAGACATTCAGCAGATACTAAATAACAGTACAAATATTTATGACATTACTTTGGGTGTATCTGTAAGATAATAAATAATTTAACAAACCCCATATTGAATATTTATATTCATTAAATCAAGTCAGATGTAAAGAAATCAGAAGCTTGATTTTTTTAGTTTTTATAAAAAATGTGTCTCGAATTTTAAAAAAAAACTTTTTTTTCTCAAAGTAGGCGATATAAATATTGAGGATAACGAGACAAGTTGAAATCCGGGTGACTATCTGTCAGTCAGTCTGTCTCTGCAAGCTGCAACTTTAGTAAAAATTTAGAAATAATGATGAAACTTGGTACACGTGTTTCCTGACGCCATGAGAAGATTTGTTTTGCAGATGGGCAGAATCGAACCATTGCCACGCTTACAAAACCCCGTTAATCGAAAACCAGCAGTGCAAAACATCATATTAATCTATCCATCTACTCAATGAGATGCGAAACTATAATCGAATTATAGCGTGGCTCCACCTCTGATTGGTTTAATGTATATACATATGTATCTCACAAACCACTAAAGCTAAACCAACCAAATTTGCTCAGAGCAAATCTTTTTGGCACCTCCTCCGACAATGTGGGAATGGGGTACATCGGTTTTAACCCCGCCCACTATAAAGGGTTTGTTGAAAACTATTAGAAGTGAGTGTTTACATTCGGATTGGCACAAATAGGTTTCATAGGGTG